AGCTAGAACCGTCTGATCCCTGCTCGCCGCCCGCTCTGGGGGACGACCAGAGCTGTAAGGACCAGCTGGCCGGGTTGGGGGGCATGGGCGGCGCCGGGCACAACAACCACTCCACCTCGTTAAAGGAGAAACACAAGATTCTCCACAGACTCCTGCAGAACAGCACGTCGCCTGTGGAATTGGCCAAGTTAACAGCCGAGGCTACGGGAAAAGACCCCATTGGTCCAGAGTCGGCTTCGGGGGACAACATGGCCGCCCTGGGTGAACTCTGCCCGAAACAGGAGCCTGGGAGCCCCAAAAAGAAGGACAATGCGTTGCTTCGCTACCTGTTGGACAGGGATGATAACGGCATCCTGGATAAAGCCATCAAGATGGAGCCCAGCGACGGTCCAAAGCTGTCCAGCATCAAGACGGAGAAACAGGAAGCAGGTTTCAACATGGCCGACCAGGTCAGTGCTGTTAACGTTAATGTTATAATGACTAACTGCAGGATCCGACAGGGACCTGACAAAAATTGCTCGCCAGTTGTTTTTATGGCTTGCTTGTTGGAGTTTCTTAAATGGATTGATTTGTTTGAAGCTTAAAAATGGATTCCCTTTTGTTATTTGGACATTTGGTTTTTATCAACTCCAAGCAGGAAAACATGGAGATGAAAAAATAGAAAACAATAGTCATACGGGGGAATAATCACAGTCATGATCAACCCCCGTTTTCCCCAGTTACACTTCAAGACATTGTTTTTATAACTGTCTAACCAGCTCGATATTTTAAGAATGGGGCTACAGATTTGTTTCCTTTTCTTCCCGAGCGGTCTTAAGCTAACGACAAATAAAAGTTCTGTTTGTTAGAGTTTAAAAAACATGGGGAACAAAGTTACTGGATTGAAACCAGTCCTCATACTTAACAAAAGATTGTAATCTACATGGAAATACATTTAATTTGATGTTAATAGACATTACGGGCCGACCGATATGGGATTTTTGAGACAGATAACGACACCGATATTTGGGAGAGAAAAGTGCAGATACTGATATACCTGCTGATATCTTTCTTAGATCTATCCTCCATCTTTAGAGATCGAGTAACATAGATATACACACATGTATCGACACATGATCCCTCAAAAGCCAGAATAACAACAGTCCACTGAAACACTATTTTTCACTTAGAAATTGACAAATTAGAATTAAAAACGAATATAACAACAAATAATAAACTTAAATTGAATAAACCTAGATCAGTATATCGGAGTGTGAATAAGCCGATACCGATAGTCACATGATACGCTAATATCGGCCGGCCGATTAATCGGTCAGGCTCTAATAGACATGCTAACTGTTAGCATTTTAGCTTGCTTTATTATTCAAATCTCCCGGTACAGTGTGAGCTACAGGGATTTCACTCTGTTGTTTTTTTTTTTAGCTTTTCTGATTTAGACTTGGGGAGAGATTTTGACCTGCTCATGGCGCTACATAAAAGATGAGGATTATAAACGTATTTACCAAATATCCATCCAATATCTGCACAAGCGAGATAAAAGCATGCATCTTCCAGGTTGGGTCTGAAATTGCTCATTTCAAGAAAGACTTGTTGGTAACTTTGTATGATTATTAAGGAGTCGGTCCACTTGTGGTTTTTGCAGATCTACGCTTGGTTTTATTTCCTTCTTGTGTAATCTAGTCGTGCTGATAGTTTGTGTCTACTTATTGAGCTGTCCCTCTCTGACTGACCCACCCTGATTTACTGTTTATGACCTTACACTTCTAGTAAATCACCCAAGAACGATACAAACCTGTGAGAACTGTTGACACCAGTGGAGGTCTGGCTGTGTCACTTAATTAAAATGTTTCTCGTTCTTCGCTTCAGTTCCAGGCAGGCTACGCTTTTATTAAAATTTACATTTTGAGAGGAAACATCCCCCAAAAGAGCAGAAGTAAATCCATCAAACTAATCGTTTTAGCAGCGCTGATATTTGACAGAGTAGCAATCCTTTTTCTGGAGTTATAGTTCAAAGTGTTGATGTGTGATTGTTGTAAGTGCAGGTGCACAGACAAAGCTAGAGTCCGTTCCAGGAAGGAGCTCGTGCTCAAAAGTGTGAAACACACAGCTGTTCCTCCGGACAGCAGAGACCGCTGCCAGCAGGGAGGCGGCCAATCAGAGGCTCCGTCCTGGAGAGTGTGCTTTGTAGTTTGTGAAGAGACGTTACCTCGAGCTGGTGGCAGGACGACGCTTGTTCAACCGAGATATCCCAGTTTATGAGAACAAGAAGCAGAATAAAAAAAACAAAAAGACAAAGCTAGAGAGAGCGAGAGAGAGCGAGAGAGAGAGCGAGAGAGAGAGAGAGAGAGAGAGAGAGAGAGAGAGAGAGAGAGCGAGAGAGAGAGCGAGCGAGAGAGAGAGCGAGAGAGAGCGAGTGAGAGAGAGAGAGAGAGAGAGCGAGTGAGAGAGAGAGAGAGAGCGAGAGAGAGAGCGAGAGAGAGAGCGAGCGAGAGAGAGAGCG